TTTATTCTAAGCATGTTCACAGGATACTCCTCAAGTCTTCTTACAGTGCCTGCAAGAGTTGCTGCTGTGATTTTGATTGGCATTTTTGTTTTAACTGTCAATATCATCCCAGCCCATTTCAGAAATGTCATGGTCTATTCCATTAGAGTACTGATCTATGACAGTATCAAGCTCCCTGGTTTACTACCATATTTGTAAAGTACTGAAGTTGACATCCCCTTTACAGACAATTAAACTGAGATTAAAAAGCCTTACTTGGGATTGCAGTACTTTATTTGCATATGACCAGGAATACTGTGCAATGTCATGTACTGTATATTCCTAAGGAATTTACTGACCATCTACACAGGTTAATTTTGTAATTTCAATTAAATGAATTCTAAGGTACACATTTATGTTAAAAAGCAACATTTATCTTCCACAGGGATGTGTAATGGAAACATAAAATTTAATGAATAACAAAATAGGTCAACATTAAGTTAATTCCATTTTCACGAATGGTACTCAAGATGAATTCTATAAACTGGACATTCTCGTAATTTAATGTCACTGTGCCAACAAATTTCCAAATTCTCTTTCAATTAGTCATTAACAAATATTTTGTGTGCACATAAAACTTAATAGAAGGAAAAAAACACTAGTACAATTGTAAAAGGTAACCATTTTTCAAAACATCCAGCACACAGTGCTCTCCAATTCTGCTTCCAATTCAGTTCTTATTATAGGTCAAATCAAGTCACCTGTTTAAAAAAACTGCACACTTTTAAGTTACTGATCAATTAAACAGGTAATTTAGTAATTTGGAGAAGCTGATCCTTGAGGGTATAATGGTATTCAGATGTTTCTTCCAAATTATCTGTTAATTTACTTAGGTTTTCCATTACCAGGATTAGAAGCTACTGCTTTACAACATCTATATTGCATCACATGTACAATATTAGTTATAATTATTAATTGTTTTGTTGATCTAAATAAAAACATATACATTACTGCTCTCTCGAAATTCACACCACTGTTATAACGTTTCTTTCAAGATCATGAAGTGGACTCAATCTGATAATTTGGTTATATTTTTCATGCTTGATGGATACAGGTACAATATGTATAAATGTTACAATTTTCACATAGAACTCCTTAGAATACACAGGCATTCTGGACTATATACTTATATATAACAATATATACTATATTGTTTATATTGCCAGCAGCCATATCACCCTGCAAATCACAACTGGCAACCCACTGAAGCTAAGCAGTTGTGAGCCTGTTCAGTACCTGGATGGAAGACCTCCTGGGAAACAGTATGGTTGCTGCTGGAAGAGGTGTTAGTGGGGCCAGCAGGGGGCGCTCACCCTGCGGTCCATGTGTGTCCTAATGCCCCAGTATAGTGACGGGGACACTATACTGTAAACAGGCGCTGTCCTCCGGATGAGACGTAAAACCAAGGTCCTGACTCTCTGTGGTCATTAAAAATCACAGGGTGTTTCTCGAAAAGAGTAGGGCTGTAACCCCGGCGTCCTGGACAAATTTCCCATTGGTCCTTACCAATCATGGCCTCCTAATAATCCCCATCTATGATTTGGCTTCATTACTCTGCTCTCCTCCCCACTGATAGCTGATGTGTGATGAGTGTTCTGGTGGACTATGGCTGCTGTCACATCATCCAGGTGGATGCTGCACATTGGTGGTGGTGGAGGGGAGTCCCCATTACCTGTAAATCGCTTTGAGTGGAGTGTCCAGAAAAGCGCTATATAAGTGTAAGCAATTATTATTATCATTATTATATATACAAATATAAACCCAAAAGAATATGCACAAATCTAATTTCTAATAGAATAAATGAAATGTTTTACAGTAATATTAAAAATTATAGAAAGCATAATATATATGTATAAGTATCATGTAGTTTTATAGGTCAATGGGGACATTACAAAGACAATATCGAGCATGAGTCTTTTGAGCGTTAACAAAATGATAGGAGTACTGACCCATAAACCAAATAAACCTCTGGACAAACTGATATGGGTTTTAACTGCAATTAGGTTACAAACCATAAATCTGATCATTTATCTCTTATTGATGACATTGATGACCTGATTCCCTAGATATTCTATTGGAATAGGTCAGAAGAAAAACACAACATGACCATGACACGACCTCAACATTGTTTTTGTATTATCCTGCATTGTCCTATTGGAAGATTTTCACTTGGTTAGCAGGAACAGAAAATCTGTTTGTACAAGGCCTTTGGTAATGTACTACTGAGTAGTAAAGTTGCCTTCACCTTGGGTTAAGATGTTGTTGTGTTAAAGACGATTCCCCTCCACATCATCAAAATTCCACTATTCTACCTGTTGACTCGAACAGAGCAAAAGTCAGAATAATGCTCTCCGTGACATATCTAGACACATTGCCTTCTCTCGTGTACTGTATGTATTTAAAACAGTGTTCATCAGGAAATTAAAAATTCCACCGCTGTCACTGCTACTGTACTTCACACAGAGCACAGCAACTTCATCTGTCAACCTGTTTCCACTGAATAGCCTCCATGCATGCAGACTGTTTTCATGCAATGGTGAGCTACAGTCATTATGATGACAAATAGGTTGTTTCTTCCTGGACTTTCTTTTTTTCAATAGCCACTGTGATTTGAAAAACAGAGGACATGGACTTGGATTGTTTTTTTTACTCCAATTCATTGTGTTGCTTTCCTACATAACTCCTGTCCCTAATAGTCATTTTAATTTTTTTCTAGTCTGCGGATTGTTGAAGCAAGACATCTCAATTTTTGGATGACTTCTTTTACAGACAGGCCCTCTAAATTCATGTTGATCTCCATTACTCAAACGTGCATAGACACGTCTTTTATTGTACTTGCGTTAATTAAAACTTGATTATTTATTCTCTTTATACATACTGTTAATCAACTCAATTTTACTTAATATCAAATACAAGATACTAAGCACCCGGTGTTTTTATTTAATCTCAAGACTTGAACTCAGTATAGTTGTTATCCCTAGGAACAGTATTTAAACAATAAACAAATCCTTCTGCTCACTATTTTAAATGTAAATAACATTACGAATGTGACCAATGAGGTAAATGTAAAAAGTGTACATACAGTAAATAATGTGACCATGAGACAGGCTGGAAATTCTATGTAAACATTTATCACAAAATGATTAGTGTGGCTGAAAATAAACCCTACTTCTGACCCAAACCTGGAAGAGGATTTTGCAAGACAATTTAGTTGCACCAACAATTCTTTGCATGTGATTTGTACAAAATGTATAGCCACACAGTTATTTCATTTGTGGCAGTGAGTTTAGAGTTATTCCACAGGAAAAAAAAAAAGTACAGGTATACCATAGTAACACTCAGTGATTACCAAACAGCTCTTGAGATCTATATAGAATAAAACAATCATAATGTAAATATCAAATTATATAAATTAACACATTATCCTATTCATAATTGGTAGACATTCATTGAACAATAAAGAATGTGTCGATTGATTTATACTGTATTGGGGGTTTCACTTGTAGTTCCTGTAAATCTATGAAATATTTCACCAGTTCAGCTAAGTACAAATTTTCAGCTCATCTTATTGATTTTAAGGTGGCAAATACATACGATTTTTAAGCAAGAAAGTGAAAATCTGGCCATACATAGACCATTTACTATTCAAAAATCCTTTTTAAACAAATTATGTGGTATAAATCAACTAATACTTCAATTTGAAAATATGAACAAACTTCAGCATTCTTTTCTCCATAAATGTTAACTACCTTGGTTGCAAGCCAGAAAATAAAATATAGTGTTTGGTAAATTGACCAAGATAGATTGGCAGGGAAAGGATTACCACACAAAATGGCTAGACAGTGGAACAAAATCTGTCTTGTGTAAGCCAGACTACTGTTCTTTGCCAAACATGGTAGTATTGGATCAATAAACTGAAGTTAGTTTTTTTATTATACTATCTTTTTAATGTATATTTATACAAATCATTTCCAAATGTGGATAAACCAACTCTAGGTAAAGCAGGAAAAATGTCCAACAGAACTGAAAAACTTAGATCTAAATGTAAATTAAAAATAATACACATATTACCTTTATTAACAATGGGCAAATGTTCAATTTACAGTGCATAGTAAAAACATGCAAACATTCCAGGCATGTAGACTATATCGCCCATACTATAAAAAATAAAATAGTGCTTTGAGTCAAAGTTAATTTTCTATTAAATACACAATTTTCTTTTTATCAGAGAGCTCAACCTGCAGTATATAGTTTGAATTATGTAACTCTAATGACAATGCTTCTCTGATATCAAGTTTTATTTAAAGCATGAAATTATTCCAACATTGAAAAAACCCTCCTTATAGTTGCACTGGAACATTTTCAGAAAGCAGGATTGTTAAATTCCTACATCTTTCAGAAGACGTCGTATTTTCTTTTTCCTTAAAGCATTAAATAGCTTTTTGCATCATAAACTTTCACTAATAAGTGTAAATATATGTTCCATGTTCTGCCAGTACAGGGCTGTGTTGTTTGAACTTACATTATAAACATGTATGCAATTACAAATTTTGAAAATTATGTTAATATTTTCATATCAGATTGAATGACCTTACCACTCCAACATTTTTTTTTTAATTACATTTAAAAATGAAAAAAGTGATGATTGCAGCTTGCATAATATTCAGTTAAGTTTACTTAATACTTGAATCTTCCTTGATCTCTTTGACTGGTCTCAAAAATAATATGCAGTATAAAATGCAGAAATAAATACAATACATTTCCGCTAAAGAGATGAATATTGATAGTAACTTGGGAATGGGAAAGTTTGAGCACCAAACACCATTAATAAGTATGCAACTGATATTAATCTCTACAACAATATCCTGTAGAAAGTATTATAACTGTAGACTTCCAATGCTCAGTAATACAGTGTATATATACACAGAGAAAATAAAAAAAAAACTGAAGTGCTGCCTTACCTCAGAATTTTTGAAGGTCAGAGAATTCCAAAGAAATGTGCTGATGTTTTCAGTCTCAGGTCTACATGCAGACTGCACTAACCCAAGAGGATATTGGGCTGCGTGTCTAGTGCATGGGGCCCTGTAGAGCACTGACCCATGGCACAGGTTCATCCAAATCTGTCAATCAATAAGACCATTTTCTTAGAGGCAATATGTCTAATTAGATAATGGTATCACTTAATGTTCAATAAAAAATAAATCTCTCTTGGTGTTTAGATATGTACAGTTTGAGTGATTTTTGTTTATTCTATTATTAATATTCCTATATATATTACAAATTTAATTAAAAAATTATTCCTTTTGATTTACTTCCAAACTTACATGAACACCCATTTTCCTGTATTCAAATATTGCAAATGCTTGCTCTTTTTTGCTCTTTGAGTGACAAATTAAGTGGCCATTAGGGCACAATATGGAGAGTTCTGAGATTAGTGATTAGTGTGTTAATTATATTACAAGATTGTATTTTGCAAATGTCACCTTCTGTTGACATTCTTTTTGCTAAAATTGATGAGAACTTTAAAGTTCACTCTGAGGGTGCTGTGATCTGCGTATAGTATATGCAAATTCGTCTTTCTCTTTTATTGTAATGCTATTTCAAACTCAAATAATTTTCTTACAAGTGGTCAAAAGCCTAGATTTTCCTCTTTTGTTCTTAGTACAACTTCTTGTCATGCTTCCAGTGTTTATCAGATTTGTTATTCAGATAGGCCATATGCAGTAAACAAAATGCTTATATAATTTAAACACTATTCATAGGGATGTTTATGGGTTTTTTAATGTTTGTTCTGAAGGTCAATTTAATTTAAAAGTCCTTTCATAAAAGAAATATTTGTTCCAGAATCTTTTTAGATAATGTGCTAAGTGTTCAAATGCACACAGATACTTCAGTTGCTTTCCTCCCATAATGATTGTCCATTACAGATAATAAATCAAACATGCTTAATGGTTTCATGAGTATCCTGATAAGCAGAAGAGGCATTTTATAAGCTAAGGATGTAATAGAGTTATATCCTTATTTTTTCATTTTTTATGCAAATAAGACTGATTGATGGGCATATCTAAACAATTAAAATGACACACTTTGACTCTTATATAAAACATGCATTATATAAACTGCTATCTCAGCAGCTGGAGCTAAAAAGCCCATAAACCCTCAATACATGCTGCCTGTGAATATTCCAGTTAAAACATAGTATAATGAGTAATTGATCTGTAATAGCTGCATGTAATGTAGTGTCATTGGATAATTTGGAATTTCGGAACCATTTTATTTTATTTGTGTAGCATACAAATAGCACTATTTAGCATTTATGGCCTCTGTCTATCATCTCATAAATTGCTCTACTGACAAATAAGGCATTTTAAATTGTTTTATGTTTATGCAGTGGCTTCACTGAAATCCAATATAAGCCAGATAGCAAAGTATAAATTAATGTAAAGGTACTTTGTATTTAGTCCTGGAATACATAAGAGACATAAGAGACTTTTTCTTGATTTTAAATTTAATCTGGTGTGGTTTTCTTTAGATTAGATCATTTTTCATGCTGAACACCTAATAATACTAGTAATAAGAAAATTATATTAGAAAGGTTTTAAATGAGAGTACAATAGGTCATTCATCCCATCAAGCTTGTGAGATTGCTAATATCTAACTGATCTGAGGACCTTTTCGAGCCATTTCATAAAGAAGCTGAAATATCAGCTACAAGAACATGGCTGAGTAACGTGTCCCAGATTTCCGTAGCCCTTTGTGTGAAATAGTGCTTCCTCTTTTCAGTTATATCCTTTCGGCTTTTTACTAACAATTCAAAATATTCAAAATGTCCAGTTTATAAGTCTGAATAAGAGAATCTGCATTTCATTCTTTTTTCTTTCCAGGTAAGGTTCAGTATGTTATATATTCAATGAAACCACAAAGCACATTGATGACAGCAGCAGTGTAAACACTGGCTATGTAAAGTCAGGAGGTTGTCATTAAAATTTTTGATGGTTGTTTATTTTACAGCAAATGTACTTAACAACTGCTCTGGTTCATTTGCAGTCTTTACTGCATGACTTAGATTTATTCATAGTACACCATTTCCAATTTCATGAGATTTCTTGACATACTGGGAAAATGACTTCCTGTTTGGTGTACAAGAGCCCTGGATTCCTCTGATAAATCTTGTATAATTACTTGAGATGTAGTTTACTGTACAGGGGGAATCAAATTTTAAATCTTGTCTGTTTAATTATAGATGAGCAATCACTGTGCTTCAGTGGTCTCCAAAATGTTGGTAAATTGTCTATGAAGCACAAGAATTGGGTGTGTGTCTTTAAGTCACTGTAATTTTAAATTGCATATACTGTACTGTAGCAGACAAGCACCCTTAGAAACACTGTAGCCTATTGTAAGTGTGACATGAGCAGTGGATAGATATTACGCCTGTTGATGGTACTTCTTTTTAACTTATGATTATAATATGCATTCACAATAGTGAACAGAAGGTTTGGGGAACATTTAAAACTCTATAAATCTTAACTTTAACTGTGGATTCTAGTGTATGTTTAACTTTCACACGAAAAGGGTTCACTTAGGTGAAAAGAGTTCAATTTTGAAATAAACATAATACTTGCATTTCAAATTGAGAAGATGAAGTTATATAAACAATTCTTGCTTCCCATCTTTTACTGCTTTAGCCATATGCAGACATTTTACATGAAACAGAGCTAAAATGTCAACCAGTATATCCTTTTGCTGTTTGAAGCAATAACACATTAAATTAAAATAAATCAGGAAACACACAAACGTGTTCAAAATTAGTTCATTAAGAAAATTTCTGAAAACATTCATCTTGCCTGAAACTTTCCAATCAGAGCCAACTCCAATGCTGGTTTAAGGGTGATTTGCTTACATCTCTGATTAAATTCAAAACAGAACATGGCTTAATGAGTGATTTTCCCTAGAAATCCATAGCATGAAATCCATATACCATCTGTTGTAAGAGTTAAAAAAAACAGCACAGATGCAAAATATGATTTAAAACATTACCTGGATGAACATCATATACCTGTATGTGGCAAATTAAAACTTCATAGATAGCACTGACTAAAGAATTATTTAAAACATTACCATGCATAATATCTGAATCCTCCGCATCTGCAACCCAGAAATTATAAAATACTTGTTAAAACCCAACACATGGACAACCACCTTGTATTGCAAATCTTTTACTCTGGTTTGAGTTATGAATCGCAAATCTCTGCAATACCAATACTCTTTCACTGCATCTGTTTTCTCTAAACTTCTTTGCCTCAGCATAGTTCAATACATTTGGCATTCAGTAAAAGATCTCCAAATGTTTTTGGTTATGAATAAAATGTATCCCTCTGTGACTGCCTGGGGTTGGTGCATACTAAATGCGCTTAACTTGTTTTTGTTGGAGAATGACATAAAAATGTACTTAGTATGATTAGGAATATACAATATTATTAAAATTCAAGACTAAATGGCATACCATAACTAAATTGTGAAATTTAGCTTTTTCAGTACAATTGGATTAGAACTACTAAGCATACAGTATATTCAGGTGAAAGAAAATGTTTCACAGTGAATACAAATGTTAACAGTGTGAAAAAGAAATTAAACAGAACTAAATACTGTTAAGAATATATACATCAAATGTTGGTATAGCAACATGAAATGTTCCTGCCACAGACTTTTTGTGAATATAAAAATTGCAAAACATTAAAAACAGCATTCAATTAAACAATCTTCAAAGTAGGTGCAAAAATTGATTAGAAAATCAAATAAAAGCTTTATGCTGCTTCAGAGTATAAAAGATGCATACAAGCATGTAGCTTTAAAAAAATAATGTTATTTTCTACATACTTCTGTATTATTTAATTTGTCACCTTAATAAATCTGCAGGTTCTGATTTTTTTTATTTTGTTATGGAAGGTTTACCTAAAAATATTTGGCATTTTCAAAATGTTTTGTATCTACAGTACATCAACTTATTTTAACAGTGTGAGTGAACTATGACCTTTCTTATAAACATCCAGAAGCTGTTCAACTTCCTGTCTTTAAATTAGGGGCAAATTAAATGGATCCCAACAAAATTAAATCAGGCTTTAAGATATGACTATGCCAAACAGGTCTGCATATATATTTCCTTTTTTCATGTTTTGTAAATTGTTTTGTATTTGTTGCATGATTATCATATTTTATGAATTCTAGGTCATTGTAGTTGCTTGAATTAGACAAATAGTATAAAACAAAATGGGTAATTACTTAAAATTGGCCCCACTGCACATTACACTGTACATGTAATGTTTTAAAACAGAGATTAAAGCCTTGTTCTCATAAAACAGATAGGGTCATATTAAAAAAAAAAAAGTGTAAATTGCAGTATCCCATTTTTTAAGTTGTTTTCCCTTTTCAAAAAGACTTGGGACTATCACAGAAATGCAATAGGAAAAGGTTTGCTTAACTGGCATACTGATAATCCTAATATGCACCAATAAAAATGGTTGGTTCATGTTTTAAACCAAGAGTCTACAAAACAAAAAACGATGTGTAAGAGCTTTCTTCACTCTTGTAGCAGTTGCCTTTTTACTATAACTAACATGAAACAATGTTACAGTATATGTTTGTTGATCCTTGTAAAATGTATTAAAATAAATTGGTAAAACGTGCTAAACACTTAATGATCTTTTCATTGTTAAGGTAAAGAAAAATCAACTCATAGATTCTAGGAATTTCCCAGGTTACTTTGAAGAACATTCAACTGCTGTCAACAACAATAGGATAACTTGCAGGAGCCTCACCACAGTTGCCATCTGAAGTTAAAAGAAATGCCATTGAAAGAAAGTTATTGAAAGCTGCATACTCTTACATATGTGAAGTCAAATTAGGAAGCCTTTTAAAATATAGTGATGAAAAGCACAGAAGAGTAAAAATGTTTCAATTACATTTATGGATCAGGGAAAAGGCCATCAGAAACCCAAGGAACATTTTGGATGAGGTCAGTTTTAGCCCACCAAACTAGGTATTCTTAGTCATTCATCCTTGTCTGAATTCCTAATTCCAGGATATACAAAGCATACAGAGTTAACCCCGTAACATCACCATG